TCTAAATGACATTGACAGCTGTCATTGGAATGGGGCGTCTTGTCGATGGTCTAGGTTGCGGTAATTTTTTAACACTTACTATTTGTTACCAAATTCTACTATAAACAAAGTACTACCTTGTAAATCATTATGTTCAGGATGGCGCAAGAACTGGCGCATCTGAACCCGCACTGGAGCGACGAGAAGATCTACCAAGAGACGCGGAAGATCGTCGGCGCCATGTTGCAGCACATCACCTACCGAGAGTTCCTGCCCCTCGTCTTAGGTAACATTTTAACTTAAAACTTTCGTGAGACATACTATATTAATTACTAGCTGTTCCTGTGCGGGTTTATCTGCACGAAATTATGAAAATTTTACTTTATTGTTCACATTTGTCAAATTATCAATAGCAAATGTCAAAATGACATGACATATGACAAACTATGGCAATCTTACTTCCTTGATGTTGGCAGCTTGTACTTTATGATCCCATTAAGGTTTTTTTATCAATTTATTTACCCTTTTAGTTTTATTGCATATAGCCTATGTCAAAAGTGTTGAGATTTTTATTAAAGTAACTGTTGATGATAGAATTTTAAAAGCCTTTTTATGGTATTTTTGTATTATTCTTACACAATTATTTTTGTTAAATATAAACTACTAATTTCTACCGAGGTACATGTAAAAACAGTTGGTAGTTTTTTAATGGAAAAAATAAAGTGAAATTTGAGGGTGGTCGGCATATAACTTGTACGAACGAACAGTGCGCACCCGTTGTTTGTGAAACCTAGTGTTTTTATTTCGTCTCCTCATCGCCGCATCCCTTATAGTAACAATTATTCAAAAATATGCTGACATCCTACGCCACGAAGTTGTGTGTGTTTACGCTTTATTATATTACTATAGATCAAACACGGCTTAACTTAGGTGACAACCTTCGGTGTAGACACCGACTTGTTTCGGACCTGTCGGGTCAAAGCTGGTAACCACTCCTTGAAGAAAAGGACCCCCGACAGGTCCGAAACTTGTCGGTGCTTACACCGATGGTTGTCACCTAAGTTAAGCCGTTTTTTATCGTTATTACGGCTTCTATTTTGTTCTGGTGACGTCAAATCAACGAGATAGCTACCTAATAGATATTCTATCATTCCTCTTAGCTACCATAGACTGATAAGATCTTGTTCTGTTTATTACTGAAGCTCTCATTCTTTGTAAACATTTAGAACAGCTTCAAACTAAATTATTGCAAATTAATAGGCCGTAAAGTTGAACTATAAACCAAATTGAGTGGAACGAATTCATTTAATATCAGACAAAAAAGTATTAAGTCACCTCACCAAGCTTACATAACCAAAAACCATGGTTGCAAAATTATGCTTAACACTGTCTTACAGATTAAATTGTTTAGACTATCGTGAGACAGTACTTTAAGCGAAAATTAAAAAGGGCTCAACTCGCGCTTTTATCCTCAGGTGACGGCACCGACTAGTTTCAGACCCTTCGGGGGTCCTTCTACAGCGCGAGTAATAATTAGTTTTGTTCGCGGTCACTTCGCGCCTCGCAGTCTTACAGATCTTTGAAACTTTTAATGTAGATTTACCAGCGGCTTATATACGACTAGCTCTGTCTTCGTCGCGCCTATGTTACTCAGTGATAACGTAGCTTTTTGATGATGAAAGAATTTTTAAAATCGGCACAGTAATTTCTGACTTATTTCAATATGTACAAATAAAAAAAAATCATTCCCCTTTATAATGTTAGTATAGATATACAATCTACAAATACGAATTTTAATATGTCGTCTCTAAAATATTAGTCATTTTTTTCCTACTAGGATCAGAAGTGATGCGTTTGTTCGAGCTGGATCTCGTGAAGAAGGGCTACTTCAAGGGCTACAACCCCAAAATCAACCCCAACCCCGCGAGCTCCTTCGGGTCTGCTGCCTTCCGTTTCGGCCACAGCCTCGTGCAGCCCTCCATGGTCAGGTTCGACAGGTTCCACAGACCCATCGCTAACAGTGAGTACCATCGGTACCCTTGTATTTATCTTCTAGGTGTCGCTCGTGACTTCATCCACGTGGAAATAAAAATAGTAAAAACATAGCCTATATCCCTCACTGATAACGTAGCTTTGAAATCGTGTCAGTGGTTTTTAATGTAATTTAATGCATCCAAAAATATAAAAATAGAAATCTTTCCTCTTTATATTATAGACTAGTTGTTTCCGTCCTTCATCCGCATGGCATTATCAAAACTGTATTTTATTGTTTACGTAAAACTTTCAGTTACAAATGTCAAAATTCAAATGCACAAATGACGTAGACCTTTGCCATTGGCTAACAATTAGTTATCATAGCTATCTTTACTGCTATTGGCTTACAGTTTTTGTCCCTTTCCCGCATTGTAGTATTTTCCAATTTATTCACCCCCTAAATTAAATTGCGTAAAAATGTATAGCCTAAAGCATGTCAGAAGTATAGGCCTTTTCAGTAATAAAAGAATTGTTCTTAAATATACTGAGATTTCTAACATCCTACGTAACTAAGTACCATGTTTAAATATATAAGATATAGCTAGTATTATTTAAATTTAAGTAGTACTTCGCTCTCCAGATGTATCTCTACACAATGAAATAACCAATCCATCCAACATCTGGAGCATGGGCGCAGTAGACCGGCTGCTCATCGGCATGATCAACCAGCCCATACAAAAACGGGACGAGTTCATCACCGAGGAACTAACCAACCATCTCTTCCAAACACCACATTTCGACTTCGGTATGGATTTAGCTGCGATCAATATACAAAGGGGAAGAGATCATGGAGTTCCTCCATACACCTCCTGGAGAGAGCCTTGTGGACTCTCAGCTATTACCGACTTCGAGGACTTGGTCAGGGTCATGCCAAAGAGAGTGGTACGGAAACTAAAAAACTTGTACAGGTAAAAACAGAAGAATTATCTAATCACATACCATTCTTTAAGGTTTTACACCTGATTTTCTTCTTCTAGACATGTGGATGATATAGACCTGTTCACTGGAGGCATGGCCGAAAGACCTGTGATAGGCGGCCTAGTGGGACCGACTTTTGCTTGTATAATCGCACAACAGTTTTCGAACATGCGCAAAGGAGATCGATTTTGGTAAGTAAACAAAAATAATGTGAAGTTGAAGTGTTAATGGAATTACAAAATGTTACGTTTATTGCAGGTATGAGAACGGTGGTTTCGAATCTTCTTTCACGCCGGCGCAATTACAACAAATCCGCAGAATATCCCTCGCCCAAATACTCTGCCGCACCCTCGACACCATCGTCAGCGTCCAACCCTTCGCTTTCCTCTCACCTGACAACCCTGACAATGAAAGAATTTCTTGCCAAAACGGACTATTAAATAACTTTGACTTATCACCTTGGATCGAAATAGACTCCGACTCTAACAACGACATCCAAAAATCTGACAACGACCTTTCTACTTTAAAACCTAATACAAAATCAACTACGACTAGACCGACCTCGACTAAAAAGAGCCAAAAACTGACATCGACCGTTAATAAAGCGCCACAAAGACCCGTAAACCAAACGACTAGACCGCATAAAGTTAGTCATAAACTTAATAACACTGACTTGGCAAATGACACAGACAAACCGACTGCAAATACTACAAGACCTAAACCGACAGTACAAGCCATTGACGACAAACTTGACTTTAAAAACAAAAGTAGACGTTACAGTGACTTTGAAAGTATAATAACGAGACATCGCGCACCCACCAGGTACTACAACAACTACAACGATTACGACGACAACGTGCAAAGCGTACAATCATTACTAGTTAACAATTTACAACAAAAACGACCATATAACAGACCAGTAATAACTGTGACTGAAAACGTAGACAAATACACTTATCTAATCAACTATGTACCGAGACCAACACAGTCCTGGAGACAGACAACGAGAAAGACACACGACAGAGACGTAGTGAAAGTTACATATCAGACTTACGACGACACTTACGACCGACGACCAAACAGACCATATTACTATGACAGTAGACGACCAAACAAACCATACTACAACAGATACGACTCGGAAGACGACATCGACCCTTACAGACGTGACAGTTCAGACACGAAACTGACATATAACTTTAATTCAACAGCTAGATCTAATAACAAGGAATTAAATAAAACCAAACTCAATATCACGACTTACAAAACTGATAAAATCGAATCTACAACTGAAAACCAATACAAATTGACGACTTTTAGCTACGTAGGGACTTACAGAGGTGATACTGACAAAATGACTAAAATTGACAAAACCGATACTAATGACAAACAGGACAGTATAAGTAAAGACTTTACGACATTTGAATCGAAAGATATTGATCGCGACAAAGGTCCAGTATCTAATACGGACAAAATATCAACATTCTACCTTTACGAGACTGCAACAAAACCTTACAATTTGAACAGACCGACAAGACGTAACGACGAAGAACAAATCAACATGAGAAATAAAAATAAATATTATTATGTTAGGAATGTTTTACACAAATATCCTGATACAGATTCCACTATAGCTAAAAGAAATACAGCAACAAACGATGGTATGGTGAAGGAGAACCACAACAGCCCTGGAGTCCCCAACTTTGGTATAGAGGAAAGATCCGCCGCAGACAAAGTTCCATCTTTAGCTGCAAAAGAGACCAAAACACACACGGATAGATTTAAAATTAAAGTTCAGAAACCTTCAAATCCACCAAAAATGCCTTCAGTGGCATTTCAAATTATACCCAGTGAAAACAGGTAAGGATTTTTGTTTTTTTTTTGGGATCGTGGCTAGCGCTAGTTTATTCATAATTAAAAAAAATATAATATTTAAAAGTAACTCTCCCGTGAACTTTGAACAGTTTTAGTAATTAAAATTTTTCAAAGTGCGTTTTTAATGTTCGATATTGTTACCTTTCAGCCCATCACAGTGGGCAGTTTACGAAGAGAACGACGACTTACCTGAAGGTCTACCGCAGCGGATGCCCTCACTAAAGATTGATCCTCACGCGTTAAGAGAAATACCTAGACCTATAAACTTATCGCGTCCCGTGAAGCGGCGCCCGGGGGGGAGGTTGTAGGGAAAATATGTATACAAAATTTGGTGCTTGCTTTAATTTAACAAGGCGTCTTCAATAAATCAAAATTAAAGACGCCACGTTGATATTTTTGATGAAAATATGTTATAATTTAGGATAAAATCCTTTCAATATGACAAACTGTGACCGACATGACACAACTGCGACAGAAATGACATGACATTACTCGAAAAACCTTGACAAAACATGATAACAGTTGTTTAAAGACATGACAACATAAAGATTTTGCACTTGATTAATTTAGAGTGGACAAATATATCAATTGCTATTTGTTTATAAAGATTACCACCACTATGTGTTATGTATTGAAGTTGTGTTTTAACTCAAAAACATATACATAAGTTATACTAGGTATTGAGTATTGAGATACAATACAGCTATGATTTGGAAAAACCGAGACAACAAAGGGTTTCAATAATCGATAAAGGTAGTTTGCACATGCGTCAATATCTCATTTCTCGTTCACGTATTGAATTGACTAACGCAATACCTTTGAGCGCAATAAGATGAATGACTAAAAACGACTCAAAAACTACTTGACTGTTTAAAACTGACTATTTGACTACACTTACCATATTCTTAACTGAGAACTGACTGATCCTTGAAATGACATGACCATGCGATAATTTTTCTCCACAACAGCTACTAAACTTACGACTTTACTCAAACCTGTTCAATTGACAAAAATATACAAAATGTATGAGTGACCAGACAGCATTTGCTTAGTACATCAAGCATTTTGCAAAATACAATTTGAGACTGAGAAAGTGACAAGGAAATTAAAGACAGATATTTGATAGACTTTTATTATATAAATTGTCATTTACATTGACTGAATATGACATTATGGTAACACTACAATATACATGAATTAATAATTTAAAAGTTACATTATATGAATAAGTTATAAAGTTATTGTAGATTAAGTAAATAATTCACAAGCCCCATCAAATGGATGTAATGCTTCGTATGTTTGAATATTGAAATTCAAAAGCTGTGAATAAAAATTAAAATTAAATTATCTTTTATTTCACTATAAAATTAAATAAATTCAACAATACTTTGAGTATCAATTATAAATTAATATTAGGCAAACCAACTTTGTTGTTGGAATGACATGTTTATTTTGAGACTAAATTATCTAAGTATTTAGTAGATGTGTGTAAATCAGCTCTGAACGGGTTAAGATTGGCTCACACAGCTAGGAACTGTTGAGCATCAGCTCAACAGATAAAAAAAAACCCTTATTTAAGTACAAATTAAGCTGATCTGTGAGCCGGTTCACAGATCTGATTCATCATGCATACCATGATCTGATCTGCAAGTCATCAATTTTGGTTATCCATGACTAGTCTTTGGTAAATTTGAACTCTAGGTCAGTTTCAATTGGTTAATTTTAAACAGTAGAAAAATGATTTAAAACACTGGTTAATTAATCAAATTGTAAAAACTAAGATTCTATTAACACCTCATATTTTAATTTTAAAAAAGTTATCATTTGTTACATAAAATATGTAGTAAAAGTATATTGAAGGAATGCAAGAAAAACATGTTTTATCACACGCAAATAAAGAAAAATAATGTTACCCTTCTAATGTACTTAGAGGTACAAAATTATTTATGACCATTTGTTTGTTTCCAACAAGTGGTCCCATCATTGTCTCCATTTTGGAAACAATGATTTTTTACTTTCATATGCAATCTCTTAAATATTCTGTATCTGAGATTCATACAAGATTTAGAGACAAAATATCTCCGGAGCCTTTGAGATAGAAAACAACATTCTAATTCCTTATGCACATTGAGAAAAAGACTCACTAAGTAAATTTAATACAGGGAAATCAGTATTTTAGAAATATTTGAATAGAAATACACAATGTTTACAACATATTACTACTTCAAACACATATAAACATGGAACCTTAACTTCCAGTATTTCCAAGAATGATCAGTTAAGGTGACTTAATCATGATCAGGGTAATACTGAGTTAATTTTTTGCTTAATTCATTGGCAAGATCTTCGCGACCGGCGCACAGCATGCGGCGTGAGAGTAAGTTGATGGGCCCGCCGCTGGGGTCAATGCACACACCTCCTGCCTCCTTCACTATCAGACAGCCCGCGGCGATGTCCCAAATGTGAATCCCGAACTCAAAGTTAGCGTCGGCTCTCCCCTCCGCCACCATAGCCATGTTTAAGGCCGCAGAGCCCAGTGCGCGGATGCCGTGAGCCTGGCCCACCATTGTTTTGAAATTCTCAAACACTACTTTAACTTTTTCCTCGTCACGACTCGTACCAGTTTCGAAAGCGACGAGCGCATGACGAAGTTCTTTGACTTTTGACGTATGTATCGGTTCTCCGTTCAAACAGGCACCTTGGCCCTCCTTCGCCGAATACAGCTTGTCCATCAAGGGGTTGTATATTATCCCAAGCACCGGCTCCTTGGAAATAAGTAAGGCGAGGGAAATGCAGCTGAACGGAAACCCGTGAACAAAATTCATAGTTCCATCGACGGGATCGATCACCCAGGTCGGCTCATCGGTGAGATTAACTTTGGCCCCGCCTGCCACGGACTCTTCTCCGATAAATTTATGAGAAGGATATTGTTTGGTAATGCTATGTATGATAAAGTTTTCAACCATTTTATCGACCTTGGTCACGAAATCAATGTCGCAGCTCTTTACTTCAAATTCTTCGCATCCGGATCCATACTGCGTGATGAATCTCCCTGCCTTCCTCACGACCCCCACAGCAACATCGAAGTACTCATTGACTACGTTCCTCATTTTGTTGTTATAGAATCTAAACGCCCAACACGTAAATACGCTTTTAGCTATTTTTACTTGCGGCGTAATTTTCAAAACACTAATCAAATTGCGTCATACAATAACATAGGTGTACATTTGATCTTGTGGCTTTTTTGACATGACATAAGAAATTTTATGCTCACTGGTAACCCTAAATCCCCGTAGGAGCCCCTTATGCATATGAGGGTTACCAGCACGCATAATACTCCTTACTTCTTTCGAAACTCACCCAGGCTTAAAACAAAACCAAGCAGTGCAAATAATTAAGGTTTAAATTTTATAAAGAATTGTATTTTAATTTTTGAAGTAGAGACTTCTCATCACGACACGTACCGGGCAACATATGTAGACATTAGACTTTATTAAATATAACATGTGACTGTTTTTATACTGAAAACATACCAGTTGAATTTATGAATAGAGTGTTTCAATGGACCTTCACCTCCAGAGTCCGGGACGGTGAAAAACAAACGTCCAACACTTTGCAACTTCGATTGACATGACAAATCCTAGATGGTGTTACCATCGATTTTAACAGACCCCTCTTGGTCTCACAGTTTTGTTTTATAGTTTCTTTTAACTTATTTTATGGGTTGCTTGAATTTTTAATCTTGAAACTATCAATTATAATTTTAGGAATGGCACCTTACATGATAACGTTCAAGATATATGACAACTCGAAATGTGACGTCCAGGATGGGTCCGGTCCTGCGGCACAACCTTCCTGGGGCATAATTGTGTAAACAAGGTTTTTTTTTTATAATACAAGGTGGCAAACGAGCAAGCGGCCACCTGAATCCACCAAAATGGAAAGCGACCGCTGCCCATAAACATCCGCAATTGCAGATGCGTTGCCCACCCTTAATTGGCGGAGGAGACGTACATAAAGAGGATATTTCCCCTTCCTATGCGTCTCCTCCACCGTCAAATCCACTTTTCCTTCCCATCCTTTCCTCTTAAGAAAAGGGGTGGAAAGGGAAAGGGACTAAAATTAAGCCTCCCGCACCACACTCATCAGACGAAACGCGGAATTGCTTCCACTTCACGCCTGTTTTCTTTGTGGTCGTGGTATTACACCGGGCGAGCCGGCCCATTCGTGACAAACAAGGTTGATATGGCACTTCACTCTATGCCCCGTTTAGCGCCTGCAAGTGTCTGGTCACTGTCGGTGTTAATAAAGTTCGATAAAGTTTATAGTCACCGACTGCGAGATATTTTAAAGAGAGTATATTGTACCTGTACTAATGCGGGACAATAAAAATGCCTTGGCTTTAGGTATAGTAGGAATTTATACTTACAGCTCGCTATCAAATATGGCAAACCCATATCTTGACCGAATACCTAATTAGGGATTCAGGGGTTTATAAAATAAAACGAGTGATTTTAAAAATCATGAAAAATTGTTTAATTGGCATACCAACTGATAACTTGTTACAACCTATGGCCAATTTTACAATTATCAATATTGTTAATAATTAAATATAATATTTATGTAAAATAGGTTTATGCTTCAATGGTTTACTTACATTTAATTTTTTATATTATTATTCAGAAAAAAAAACTATGTAATAAAGTCGAGGTCATTACAATAATTAAGACTTCGGTATAATATAGTTATATAAAACATCGCAAAGATACTTTTTCCCATCCAATTGGTGTTTTAGGAATCCGATCCGGGACGCTTTGTCCCTAGTAAAAATCCTAAGGCCACAATTTATTACAAAATGTGTTACTAACACTAGAGAAGCGAGCCGAGACCTCCGCGACAAGGGCGATACAAGTTCCGTGGAAGCTAATTTACATCGAAAAACAAATATAAGTGAAAGTTACAATATCTTATACGAAACTCGTCGGATTTGAAAAGATACGACATCTCTGTTGGAAAATTCACGACGAATTCCGTTACACCAAAGTTTATGTCCTTACTTAACTATGAATAAAATGTGTATGGCAACTAAGCGCTCAGTGGTTCACACTGATATTATTTACATTTATTCTTGTAGGTGTCCGTTTACTGAGCATGCTCAGACGAAATACTAATGCACAAGAACAACTACAAATGGTGTTCAAACTGTTGATAAAATTAAAAAAATGCATCTGAACATGCTGTATAAAAATCAAATTAGAATGCTGAACCAGTCTATCAGGAAGAACACAAGCTTATAAGGTGAACAGAATAGAAAATATTTTAACCCTTCATCAAACAAGAGATTAAAAAAAAACTAAACTGGTGACTTAAGTAAAGGTTTTTATTCCTTGTACTGATTATAGTTTAGCAATAGAGAAAAAAAATACTTTAAAGTCAAATAGGAAATTATTGTCTTTAAATATTTGATTAAGGGTTAACATATGTAAAATTCGAACCCCTAAAAGTTTTGTTCAAGTCGCGTAGATAAAAATGCATCCAAAAAGTGAATTCCTGTCACAATGTTTATAATACTTTTTTTAATTTAAACTATATCACCCAATGAGTAATTTAACATCTACCCGATCGACTAAGTCTAGGTAAAAATTCGAAAACTCGATTGTTTAGGAATGTCTAGTTAATACTGCTCCAGTTGGCGAGCACTCGGCTCTCACCTACTGCAGCACAACAGTATAATACATATTTATACTGATAAAACTGTTATTTAGCATCTAACATGAAAATATAGAAAAATGACAATTACAGAAATAAAGTTAGTGAAAATCTTAATAAATTTAGCTTGTAATTAATCGTAAAAATGATTTTTTTCATTGAAAAATTGCAGTCATTATTAATAATTAGCGATAACCACAGAGTGCACGGTTTGTCTGACGTTTTGGCACATTTGACATGACACCGTTCGATGAGACATACATGTATGGTGTAAATGCATCCGTATATCCTGAGCACCCACAATATTCCAGTTAAATTGTAAAACATTCTAAAAACTTCACGTCCAAATTCATAAAATGACACGATTTTTAACAATACAAAGCGAAAACTTAACTATAGTGACATGTAGATTAAAAAATTAAATATATATCGACCCCATTTGACAACTATATATCGAACATAATCGATTGTACAAAACGAA